AGACCAAATAAAGGAGGCAGGTTGTTGTGAGCTCCCTCATAATTAACCACATACTTGTCTGCTGCCCCACGCCTCCCAGCCAGAGAACTGGGAGCAGATTGAAGACACCATATAATGCATTTTTATATTCCTCTAAAGTATTTAATATAGTGCTTGGCACATAGTGGGAGCGGGCATTGAAAGTGTGAATTAATGTATTACTATTTTAGACAGATTTCTGTCTGGAGTGAGTGTTGGGATAGAGTCCTCTGCCTGGGTGGAGAGCTCTTGAAAGGACCTGAGCAGCTCTGCTTCATCTGAAATCATTTTAGGCTTTTATCTTAAGACCCATGCCCCTTCTGGAGAGATCCTTTAGTTCTTTTGCTGAAATACTTGACTGTGATGGTGAAAGCAGAGAAAGTTTTCGGAGACAAAGAAGGTTATAGCAGAGAAAGATGTGCTAGCAGTCTCACAACTCTTATGTTAAGGATTTACAGAATTTCCCAGGCTAAATCTCCTTGTCTCTCTGAAACTTTGTTCATTTAACCAACATTTACTTAGCATGTCTTACAGGTCAAATATTGTGCCAAATACCAGGAAAACAGATATTCATACATTATATTATACTTGTTGATAGGCATATTTCACCTCCAAGTCTCAGCTCTTTGAGGGCAAGAACTACATCTTGTTCATCTTTGTGTCCCTAGCACTCAGTACAGTACTTGATGGATGGAAGAATGGAGAAATGAATGGATGAGAGAGACACAGCATCATTTTCTCAAGGAGCTCATAGCTTGTTAAAGGAGGCAGCATATCAGTAAAAGTTCATGAGAGAGTACTCGTGGGCTGCTGTATCAGGGATTGCACAGAGAGCCACCTTCTATTTATGTGGGCTGGGGAAGGGTCACAGAGGAAGAAATGGATGGCATGGGTCTTGAAAAGGCTAGGATTCAGCAGGTGAAGAAGGAAGAGGAGGCCATTCCAAAAAGGAGAAATAGTCTGTGCAAATGCACAGCATGTTCGGGTAGGATCTGAAGAGAATGTCTTGGAGGAAGAGGAGTAGGAGAAGAAGATGGGCAGGAACCCAAGAGCCTTTTATGCCCTCATTCTTACAGATGCATCACTGTGGATTAGTTTATTGAAGGCTGATTGTTGAATATTTTCCTGGATCTCTCCAAAGTATATGTGGCTAAGCCTCTCAAGGGCAGTTCTTCACGCCTTTCCTTTGCTCCGCAGGACCCAGACAGGTGAGGGCATGGACTGCGCGCATAGGCAAGATGTCTGGCCGGACTCCTGATTCTTACCAGGGGTGGCCCATCTGCACCTTGTGCTGAACTCTTTAGGCACCAGTTTATGGGGTTTTGATACAGATTATGCCTTTGTCTGTGTCTTTCTCTCACTCACCCATCCATCCATTCATGATTATGAAGAACAGTCACACAGATTACCTATTTTTTTTAGTGCATATTTATAAATCTGTAAGGAAGACAACAGAATTGGGGGCCTCCTAAAACATGACTTGAGTTGGTTGGTTCCACCTATAGGGGTTCAACTGCTTGCCTTTCTTTTCTTTCCTCCCCCCCCCCTTTGAATAAATAAAGATGTTGAGATTCTTCTATCAAGATACCTCTCGCTGATGCTAGATAGCTAAACTTTGCAGCCAGAGAAGCCATCTTCAGTGGCAACAGCCCAGGGTATGGGGGAGAGGAAGAGGCTGTGAAAGAAGTTGCCCCTTTCTCGTTATCTGAGACCTGCTTGAAATCTGATGCATCTCCTTGGGTCATGAGGCTTCCTTAATATCCGCCCTAACACTAAATATTTAGCGCCGGGCACAAAGAGGCAGGGGAGGGAGGGGTGGGAGAGGCACATGGCTCTGTATTGCCTGTTTGCCGCCCACAATAAGAGGGATAGGAATAGAAAAGACCCAGGCACAACATAAATATTTCCTATTATGGAGAAACTAAAGTCACAATGGAATCTGTCATGCTTGTGATATGAGAGATGGACAATATTTCGGGGCTGCTGCCATGCTGGCACCTGAATGGAGTTTATATTTTGTTTATGGAGCTGAATCCGAAGCCTTTTATTTTTTTGGCCCAGCCTGTGTAATTCTTCTTCATGGGAGCTCGAAATGGCTGCGGAGCAGCTCAATATTCCATTTATTTTATTTATAAAAGAAATTCAAAGGCTGAAAAGATGAAGTAATTGACTTACTGGGATGACAGTTAAACCCACTAAATTTAATCTTATCCTCTCAAGTACAACATATCGCGCTTACAAATTATCGCCAGCCACCAGGCAGCCCCGCGCTCCTCACCTAATGCAAATGGAATGGAGGCCTCTGTTATTGTATTATCTGACTTTACTATCAGCATTAATCCGGCTTAGCTCACTTAATGATGCCACTTGTGGCACTCCGAAGGCAGCGGAGAAGTCTATAAACTACTTCCATTAAAATGCAAATCGGGCCCGCCGAGAAAATAAGTGACACAAAAAGTGGGCGAGCCGGGCGCGCGGTGGCCGCCGCGGCCGCGCCGCGGGCTGATGGCGCGATTAGCGCGCGCCGCCGGGGAGGGAGCGCCCGCGCGCCGCGCCACGCGCTGCGCCGACGAGCCGGGCCGTTTAATTTCTGAAGAGATTTATATTTTTTTGTTGTCAGGAAATGAACAAATACTTATCAATGTAAAAACTGCTATCTCCCATCTCGCCGCCAGGTTTTTCATCCTGATATTATTTGCACCCCGCAACACAGGAAATGAAAATCTTCTCTCTGCCTTCCTCGTCGCCACTGTCTCTCCAAATCCTCGGCGAGCACGTTGGCCTCCCCCCGCCGCCCCCCACAGCCCCCTCCCAGACTCCCTCCCGGGTAAACAGAAAAGAAACTTTTGTGGCCTAAGGATGGGAGAAATTCCAAGGCTTAGAATGTTCCAGGCCGGCCGACTTGGGTTTGGGGCAGAGCGCAGGGAGGCTGGGCTGGGGCGATGAGGGAGGGGGCTGGGAACACCGGCACTCAACGGTGACATCTGTTTTACTTAAGCAGCCTGATTTCGTTTTAGGATGAAAAAGTATTCCGTTTCAGCATGAGGAATCGTGGGCCCTGGGGCTTGTATTGATTCAGAACAAGGCCTAATAAAACACTAGCAGGTGATTTAGTTTCATATTTTGATTCCTTTGTTTAAACAGTTTCTCTCAGGTTCTCCTGTGTCAGCCCAGGGATCCCGGCGTTTCCCCTTTGATGTGGGAGGGAGGCACAGGCCGGCAGGGCTCTGGCTGGCGGGTGGGTGCCGCGCGCTCTGGGGGCAGGGCGCTTCCCACCGGCCCCCAGCGCCAGCCCAGCCTCTGCGGGCAGGCTCTCCAACCCTGCCAGGATTTATGGTGCGCGCGGAGGGATCAATACTACATTTTAAATATTACAATACCTTTTATCGAGACAATATTACAACAAAAACATTTTACCCTGTCATGGGACCTAGTTAAAATTGATTTTGGCCGTCTAGTCCACGGGCTTCCCCGGCCCTCTGTGGTTACCACTTCTGAGGACAAGTTGGGTGTGCTCCGGGGATGGCTGACCCTGCGCACCTGGGCCAGGGAACCACAGAGTGGGGGGTGCAGCAGGTGAGGGCTGTGGGCGCCTGGGGAGGGCTGCGGAAACTGGCTGTTGCCCCAGTGGGCTTTTTTTTTGGGGGGGGGGGGGCTTGTTCTCAGTCCTGACTCTTCCCTGGCTGGCGGGACAGGGATGTAAGTGGAAGGAAGGGAAAATGTGGGTGAAACTAGGATTAAGGATGACATTTATCTTGGAGCCCTGGGACTGGGCCACAGACCATCCTGCGTGGACCTGTCAGTCCTCTGTACACCTCTGAGGTGTGCTTGCCACATTGCCTTGTAACTCCCTTTGCCCATGTCTATTTCTGTCTGTCACCCTGTTTATTTTCCTACAGGTAGTGCCTAGGATAGGCTCTGGCCACTGCCAGAATAGATACATAGTATATACTTCATGAGGGTTTGTTGAATTGCTAAAGGAATGAAGGCTGTGTTATGGTCTGAATGTTTGTGTCCCCTTAAAATTAGTATGTTGAAACATAATCCCTAATGTGATGGTGTTTGGAGGTGGGGCCTATGGGAGATGATTAGATCGTGAGGGTGGAGCCTTACAAAAGGGGTTATTGCCCTTATAAAAGGAATCCCAGAGAGCTCCCGGGTCCCTTCTACTGTGTGAAGACACATCAAGAACCAGAAGGCTGGCTGTCTCCAGATGTTGAATCTGCCAGAATTTTAATCTTGAACTTCCCAGCCTCCAGAATTGTGAGAAATAAATTTGTTTTTTATAAGCCAGCCAGTGTATAGTGTTCTATTATAGCAGCCTAAATGGACTAAGATAGGAGGTAACAGTGTCTTATTCCCACCACCTCCACCTCCCTGCAGAAACTCAAGAATTGCCTATGAATAGATAGTGCACATCAATACATTGCCTTCACACACGGGGAAAGATCCCTTTAGCCATTCTTGATGCACTTGAACTCAGCTAGGCCTGAATGATGCAAGTATGGAATCATGTCTGAATTTGAACCCTGGCATCTGCATGATTTTTTTCTTTTCTTAAAAGTTTGGCACATGTCTTCTGTGAGTGGTTGCTGTGTAATGGAATTGAATATGTCCAGGTTTCATGGTTTTATCTGCTCATGCACTATTCCATGGATATTTATCGTGTGCTCCCCATATGCCAGGCACCAGCAAGACTGACAAGGTCAGGGTACCTAGGGTATTTCTATTCCAGTGGGAGAGGCAAAGAAAGCAAGTAAAAAACAAAGACAGACTATAATTGCAAATTGTGCTCAAAGCTATAAAGGAAATGGAGAGCGTGACATGAGAGGAAATGTTCCCCAAAAAAATCATAAATTTCTGGGTACCTGACCTTCTGAACAAGTGTAAGAACAACCAGTATGTGTGTGAAACCCAGACAGTACCTAGAACAGCTGGCTCCTGTTAACTATTGCTGTGTAACAAAACACCCCAAAACTTAGTGACTTAAAATATCAACAACATTTATTTTGTTCACCAATCAGCAATTTGGGTAGGGCTCAGTGGAGACAGTTCATCTCTGCTCCACTTGGCATCAGCGAGGTCATCTGGAGGTTCTCTTGATTGTATGTCTGGAGGCTGTTGCTGGCTGTCGGCTGGGACCCCAGATGGGGCTGGGGCTGGAGCACGTGGCCTTTCCATGAGGCTTCCTCCCCATGGCCTGGCAGCTGAGTTCCAAGGGCAGCCATCCTAAAGGAAAGAAAACCAGGCGGAAGCTGTATTGCTTTTTCTATCGTGGACTTTGAGGTCCCACAATGTCACTTTTAACACATTCTGTTCATTGGAGGTTAGTCACTGATGCTGACCATGTTAAAGGGGAGGAAATAGACTCTGTCTTTCCAGGAGAGGAGTATCCGAGAATTTGTGGACATAATTTCAAACCACTCAAAGCCTCAGTTGAAGAGCCGAGCATTAGTTTGAAGGCACAATCAGGCACCCTTTACCTTCATACACTTCCCACTGGATCCTCTTCCTCAGGTATCTCTCCAGGCTATCCTCCCTGTCGTGGCCATAGGACTAATTGTACCCTGATTGTTTTTCATTTTGTCCTTTTCTCCTACCATGACCCTTGATTGTCTGCTAAAAAAAGCCCAGGCTCTGTGTGTAGACATTCAAAATTCTTGCATATCTCACCTCAGTATCCTCCCCTGCTTTATTTCCTAAACCAGTGGAGAGACGCTGAGTTTGAAGACAAGACCACTCCAGCCAGGTTGGTCCAGTTATTTACACCCAAATAACCCACAGTGTGTGTTTCTTTGCTACTTTCTCCATCAGATTGCTCCCAAACACCTGAATGCTATTCATTCTTCAATTCCAGCCCAAGCCTGCCTCTCCCATGAAGTCTTCCCTGAGCAAAGCTCACTTAAGAATAATATTAGTAGCCAGCATTTCTCAAATACCCACTATATGCCAGCAGTTTCACTAGAGGCTTTGCATTCATTTCCATTAATTCTCATGACAACCTTGCAAGTTACTATTTGCCCATTGAACAGATGAGGAAACTAAGGCAAAGTTATTTTCTCTAGGTTATCCAACTAGTATGAGGTGCATTTGGGATCGAAATCTGCCCGTCTGCCCTGAATCCAAGCTCTTTCTACTATGACATCTACAAATATCAACACAATCTCTACAAGGTAGGAAGTGATAAGTAGTTAAGGCATGAAGGAAAAAAACCAGATAATTCAGAGACTCACTCTTAGGGGGTTTTAGCTGGAATTTTAATGTTGGTGACTTGGTGTCACCAGAGCACTAAACAGACCTATTCCAAGTCAAAGTTTTTGTTTGTCTATTAGCTGCATCATACTCAGGCTAGCTGTGCTCTGAGGAATTTTCCCAATTTTCTTAGGCCTCCCAACTTCCAACTGGCAAGTTATGGCTTAAGGCCTGGGAGTAGCAAATGATAGAGCAAGCAATGCGCTCAGACTTAGGCAGCCTTGCTGTTTGGTCTACCTCGGCAATTTTGAAACAAATTTTTGTTGGGCTAGATAAAAAAAATGTGGCCACAAAGTCCTGCCTTTCTTGGATGCACATTCCTTACAACGTGTCTTTGTTGCCTCTCCCAAGAAGAAGAGGAGGCTCCAGTGGGAACTGGCCTTATAATTTGCTTTGCCTAATTGAATGGGAAGGAGCCATATGATGAGAGTTTTGAGACTAGGCCTTCAAGGGCCTTGCAGCTACCACCTCACCTTCCTATGGCTCTACTCTGAGACTCTATGTTTAAGAAGCTGGGGTGAAGATCAGGCAGAGAGGCCCAGCCACCTCCTAACTACCCCATCTGAACACTGCTGTGCGAGTCAGAGCTGACCAGCCAACCACAGAACCTTGGAGAAAGGTCACCTGTTGTTTTGGCCTGCTAGATTTTGATGTGGCTTGTTACACAGCAGTAGATAACTGATACATATAGTTGAGATTCCACTGGGGAAGGGGGATTTGAAGATCGTTTGGAATATTGCTGTGGAAAGGGGCTTTGCCTGTAGGAATTGAATGGAAAGGGAGGAGAGAGAGGCTCATTATCTCTAGGAACTCAATCAAGTTGGAATAAAACAGGCACATGACGGAGACTGAGGTTGAGAGTTAATATTCAAATGCTGAATAAAGTGTGAATCATAGAATCAGAAATTCCAGGTCTGGAAGAGCCTTCTAGAACCAAGTGGTCTGGGGATGACAAATAAGCTTCAGCATTTGCCAACTCCAATTGATTGGTAGTGGCTGCCTGGAGTGCTGTGTTGAGAATTCTGAGGCTTTGTCTATTTTCAACAGAAAAGAGGGCTGTGATCGATTAGTAATGTCTGCCACGGGTGCAGGAATTGCTTCAATTACTTGAATGTGCTCTGCTCTTTCTAGTCTCAGCACCTTTACTCATGCTGCACTCTCTACTTGAAATACTTCCCCTGCCCCAGCACTGCTTTTCTAGCTGGCTTATCTTTCAAGTTTCAACTTTCATGTCACTTCCTTGGAGAGGACTCCCCTACCTAAAACTCCTCCTATTCATGTCCCTTGGTTGCACATGTCATAATTTTGTCATTATATATTTGTGTGTGTGTGTGTGCTTTTAATTTTTCTTTCTCACAACACATTCACATAACATCAAGCTTCCTTAGGGCAGGGTAGTGTCTTTTTTGCCCAGCTATTTACCCAGGACCTAGTTTAGTGCTAGTGCAAAGTAAGTGCTTAATATTATTGTTGAATGAATGATTGAGAGGTGGCATGGATAACAAGTTTGGCCATCGTGAACTAATCCAATTTCCTCCTCTAACCTAGAGTGGTTAGGCCACACGCCTAAGACACATAGTCTGTCTGGCTACAAGCTCCCAGTCCAGTGTTCTCTCCAAAATATCAGGTCTACAATGCACACAGATGTATCTTAGAAGCTGAAGAAAGAAAGAGGCTGAGACTGTGCTAAGAGACTGAGATTGTGCCAAAGCAGCCAGCCAATTCAGACACATTATCAACCTACTGTTGGGGAAAAACAATGTTCAGTCATGTTTACTTACAAACTTTGCCACTTTAAGCTGATGTTTGGCCATGCTGTGGTAGGTGTTTTTGGTGGTACCAAGTTGTGGGCATGCAAGGGTCATTCATTCTATGTTGGGCTTTGTCTCTGCCCCATCAACATGAATGGAATGTTCAGGAGTTAAACAGATATGTGGTTGTAGCATCCTATATATCCCAAGGGATAATATATTAAATATTTTAAATATAAGAAGACATTTGCATGCCTTCAAATGCCTTTTGGGCATTAATATTTTGAAAAGAAGATAAATTGAAGATGAAAAATAAGGACAGGCAAAGATATTTTGTTTCACTGTCAACGGTAGAAGCAGTAAAAATAAATTGTCATGTGTCCAAAAAAATCACCCTATTTGATGTGGTAAACTTTCTGAATTCCCCCAGAACTTCCATGGATGGCAGACACATGTCACCCTTTGCAAAGCCTTTTCTTATTAGGGATGACCAGTGTTTCCCTGAGGTGAGTTGCCTGTTCGTTGGGCTGCGGGAGAACTGGGTCAGGGGCAGGAAGGCACACCCCTGTACATTTGCATTGAACAAGAAAGAACATTTGACAAATTTCTCTGGCAGCTGGAGTGATGAAGATCATTTGTAGGCCTTGCGTAGTGGCAGGATACATTAAAGTAATTTTAGCATTTTCTAAGTTTAAAACCTTTTATTCTTTCTTTATGATAAATATTCTTTCCCCAGCTTTATCCTCTAAGACAAGGTTTGGCAGACTTTTTCTGTAAATGGCCAGACTGTAAATACTTTAGGCTTTGGGGCCACAAGATCTCCATTGGCGCTCTGCTACAGTAGTTTGAAAGCAGCCACGGACAATATGTGGATAGTTGAGTGTGGCTGTGCTCCCATAAAATGTTATTTCCAAAAACAGACAGAGGTCTGGATTTGTTTGGTCTATGGGTTGTAGTTTTCCAATGCCTGCTTAGGAGATTGGAATCAAAGCCTTTTTTTCTCCTATGAAAGATGAAAACTTTACTCACTGAATCCCAAAGATTGCTTCTTGCCTCCAAATATGTAATTAATATAAGCAGCAAAGTATAGCCGAATTTCTATGAATCTGAAGCTGTTAAAACAAAAAAAAAAAAAACTAAGTTCATTGTGCCTTTAGGATGAAGGAATAGTATCTAATCTAAGAAACTGTTAGAAAAATTAAAACAATGTATAATTTCCAAATTCTACTTCTTTGCAGCAGCCCTCCTGCATGTGAGATTTTCAAGTAGAATAGCTATTATTTCCCACTGATGAACCACAAATGGATTGGAGATATTTGCATACCTTTTTACACACAATATACACCACTACTCTAACCTCTGATTCTTTTTACCAAATTCCATTTAATTTGTCATTAATTAGTAAATTGTTATGTGAGATGCTGCAAGGCATCTTGGGTGAAACAGCCAGTGTGATGATTATTCTTTTGGAAGCTATCTGAAATTGTTACTACTGAGCAATTTCCATGAAAATAGCAGGGTCTTTGGAGCTGCTCTTTTAAAATAAGAATAAAATGAATCAAATGGGGAGAACAAATAAAGGCAATAATAAATCAAAGACAAAAGACAGGAAACTAGTCCCCAAAAAAGTATATAGGAAGAAACTACATCAGCTTCTTTTTGCAAAGAATAGGTGCTTCTCCAGCTTTCCTTTGAAGACGCAATAAAAACAAAACAAAGTTAAAGCAAGTCCAAAAGTAAACCTTCAGAAATCCAGCTGGTATTTGTATTAAGAATCTTTGGATCTCCGAAAGCCTTTCTATAAGGGCATAGGGAGAATCATGGCCAACTACAGGCAAGTTCCTTCCTTCTTTCTGTTACACCCAGCAAACATATTTGCATTTATTTTGTCAATTGCAGAATCAGTGCTTTGAGTGATTATCATCGCCTACATCTTTTCTCTCTATTTTTTCTACTTACTTGCTTTCATTTTCAATTTCCTTCTTCTCTCCCCTTCTTTTCTTTCACTTAAAGCGAGGCCCGATGCACCTTCCTGATCGAAGGGATTTTGCCTTCAAGTTGTTTTTAGTGTTTAATTTCTGCTTACTGTCACCTCCGGAACCAAGTCCAAATGAAAGGCGAGCCTCTTTGACCCTCTGCCCTCCCTTTCCTGCCTTCTCTTCTGCAAGGTTTCAATGGTTGATTGAACGGTGTGTTAGGTTCACTGAACTTGGTCTTGGCTTCGGTTCCAAGCAGAGACAAAGTCTGCTTCCAGGCCCATTTCCATATGAAAGCAGCTGAGATCTCTTTTCCCATTTTGGAATTCCAGGCAGCACCCTGGGCTCTGACTTCTCAGACTCAAAGTTGTTGCCCAACTCCCCCACCCCCCACATCCCAACCCACCCTAATCTCCTCCCATTCTGCTTTCTCTGGCTGCTGGACTTCCAGCCCTCCCTGCACAATACTGTACCCCCGAGAGTGGTTGTGAGCTCAACTCAAGAACAACTCACTTCGTGTTTCTCTAGGCGGATGGTGTTAAGGGAGGGATTTATTAGGTTTGAGATGGGCAGTGGGAAGTGAGGGGCCCCATGTGGGATGAGGAGAAGGTGGGCGAGTCAATGCTTGTTAGGGTTGAATTTAAGAAAATCATAATTCCCTTTGCCAACGATTTAGGAGCAAATATAACCCCATTAAAAATGTATCCCACTGTTTGTAAATCTGGTTTGGGGTCCTCGGTAAACTGCCTCCAAAATTTCTGCTTTACTTCTAAGATGTGGTTTTGCCAAACTGGAAAATGACAGCAAGAAACATGTTGCTTCTTTCCATTGTATTTCTTGTGTAAGCAAATGGCCTATTTGGACCCTTAAAAATGCCATTAGCAAAAATAAAATCCCCAAGCTGGAAAGAACCCACGAAGTCTGTCTCTATTCAAAAGCCACAGAGAGGTGTGGGGGTTGACGAACCAGACCATCACCATCAGACTCTCCTCCACCTCAAATCATCACAAACAGTTCCAGAAGTTGCTGGTGGCCAAATCAGCCTTTATTTATTTACTGGCTTGTGCTAATATAGGTGGCTTGATGTTTTTGCTGGAAGGTCTTTCCAATGTTAATACCTGGTCACATTTCAGTAATGTTCTGAGCGAGGCTTTGCTTCTTCCTTTTGTTGGGGAGTGAGGGAGTGATTTATAGACTTCTCCCGGCGGGACAAATTCTGTTATTGTTTTCATTATGTCATAAAAAAATGTCACTTCTATAGCAAGTCACAATTGTCTGGATGACTATAAATATGGCTATAATTTGGACACCACAAAGTTGTCACAGAATCCCTGCCGTGGTTGTGACGACCAACATGTCCCTATGCATAAAGGTTGCGTATGTGTGTACACCTCCATGCGTACATCCATGGGTTTTTATGCATGTTCCTATACACATGAGCAATGTGTATGTGTGCATGTGGTATATTTTCAACGGGGTGTGCCCAAGGGTACTCATGTATGTACGTGCGTGTGAGTGTGTGCCACTGTGTGAGATGCACACGCAGATGGATTTGCATGCATGTGTGTATCTAAATTTGTATAAGTGAGTGGGTATGTGTGTCAGGGAGTGGATGAATGTGCAAATCAGTAAGTGGAGCCCTGCCAATGGGAGCGCCAGCAGCCAAAGGCTTTCAAGAGTCTTTGTTGCAGTCGCATTCCCAGCGGGCTCCAAACCTCATTCTCTGCCTCGAGGTACAGTATGCTCTCCTGAAAGGAGAAATTATCGAAATGCAGAATGTCTGCTGTTGCAAGCCCAAACTCTACTAAGTTGTGCTGGCCAGGTCCCCGAGAAACAGCCTGGACATCACTGCAGACACAGGCCCTAAGCAAAAACACATGTGCACGCCTCTGCCTTGGACTCCAATGGCCGTTAAGGAAATGGATCTCTGTTGAAGAATGAAGGCAGAAAAACTGAATCAGCCCCACCATTTGCAGCAAAGGTGCCTGGTGTCATTTATTATGCTGGCCAGGAACCTCCTCTATGGATTATAATAAAATAATCTCACCTTGTTTTATCTGCAGACACTTTATTGTCCTGCATCTGGCCTTTGTAATGAATTCATACATAGATGGGTGACAACAAGGAAGAAGAGTTTAAGTATTTTGACAGCATTAATATTGATCCCAGAATAGATTAAGAGACAGCTAGGAGGAATTTCTTCGAGGGATCAAAATCTCCTTTTTCCTCCAAGCCCCTGAGATAGCTGGCAGCAGTAGACACCAACATTTATCAATGCAACAATTTCAACTCTTGAGCAAAAAGCCTCCCATCTCAGAGATTTTACATCTAACAAATCACTGCATTTTGTCCTTAAATTTATCCTGTGGCAACCTTTTGGCAGGATGGTTGGACCGTGGGATAAGGAGACGAAGAATTTTCAAGAAAGGATTTCCCACCCCCAGCTGCTGCACACTGAGCTGCATTGTCCAGGGAGAGGTGGTGATGATTAATCACGTCCAGCTCCCCAGGACCCACTGCCCTCCCCCTCTGCCTTCCCATTCCCTCCCCTTTTCCTAGGCTTCTATGACAGCCAGAATGATTTACTGACTAGTTGAGGATAACAGATATCAGGTCTTAGGTCCAATCTAGTTTAGTGTCTTTTAAATAAACAGGCCTGGTCTTGCCTTGGGCCCTAACACCATGGCCTTTATGCTGAACGGTTTGTCTCAGCTCCCAGATCTTGTTTGCTTTGCTGGGTCCCTGACCCCTTGACTCATTCTGTAGCCTAGCTGAGACCTAGTTCGCGGATTTGCATCCTGTGCTCGGCTGCTGGCCTCCCCTCCCCCGCAGAAATCCCTGCTGGCTCTTCTGGTGTTGTTTTGGGCCCTCTGGGGAAGCACTTTGCATTATCCCAGTCAGCATAGCTGGTGGGTTCTCATTAGTTGCAGAGATGGAACCCCAACTCCTTGTCAGCTGTAGTGTGTTCTGAGGATCACTGCAGGAATGAGATTTCATAGCAAACCAAGAGGAAGAGGACTATGGTTTGCTGAGCATCTACCCCATGCCATGCACTGTGCAGAGGGGCTTTACATATATGTTGCTGAATACTCAGAACAGGAACGTATTGTAAGTCCCAACTGACCTTCAGCAGCAGCTGAGTCTAAGACAGTTGAAAGACCTTGCCCAAGGTCACTCAGCACAGCCATCGGACGGAATGGCCAGGGTTTAAGCCACATCTAACTGTTTTCTGTTATCTTGTTCTTTCCCATAATCATAATCTTAATCACAACAGCGTGTGTTGAGCATTTATGTCTGTCAGGCTTTGTGCCAAGCCAATTGCCTATATTACTTTTTTACACTCAAAAAAATTAAAACTAATGCACCCTTTAAAAGTGTACAATTCAGTGTTTTTTTTATAAATATCTTCAACAAGGTTGTGCAAGCATAACCACTATCTCATTCCAAAACATTTTCATTGCTTCACAGAAAACTACATACTCATTACCTCACTCCTCATTTCCCCTTTTTGCCAGTCCCCGATAACCCCTAGTCTGCTTTCTATCTTTGGGGATGTATTTATTCAGGATATTTCATATATGTGGACTCACACAGCATGTGTCCTTTTGTGTCTGGCTTCTTCCACTTAACATGATGTTTTCAAAGTCCATCCATGTTGTAGCGTGTGTCAATACTTCATCGTTTATGGCTGAATGATATTCCATCACACAGAGAGGGCAGATTTTGTTTATTTTAACTAAACCTTACAACTCTCCTATGAGGTAGGTGTAATTATTATCTCCATAGGTAAACTGAGCCAGAAAGAGCTAAAAAGACACTTTAGGTCATATTTTAGGAGCAGCCCCCCAAATGCAATCATTTTGCATTTGTTTTTCAGTTTAAGTTGCTACAAAGCAGATGATGAGCCAGGCTCATGACCGCGCTGTGACACACCATGCGAGGTTTTCACCCAGGCTGTGCCAGAAGCCCTCCCTAGTCTCCACTTCAAGACTCTGCCCCACAATCTCCCTCTGGGAGGCTTTCCTGTCCCACTTAAGCCTCAGCCTCCAAATGGCAGCATGACCTGGAACTGCGGTCTGGCCGGGAGGTTGATGAAGAGAAGCAGCAAGTTCTGATGGGGCGTCTGGGTGTTTCCCAGCGGGCAAAGCCTGTCTATTCAAGTGTTCTGCCTCTGCCAGAGCTGAGCTACCATTTTCCCTTCCCGAGTAGAAGTTTTCAGGACCAAGTGGTTTATAGAGAGTAAAAGGATAAGAACTAAAGAACAGATTATATATGACAGCAGTAAGTAAATGACTTTCTTAATAAGATCATATTTCAGGTCAACCTCCTACTGCTTCAGTCTATCTTTATGGTAATGAAATCTTACAGAGCCTGTACAATAAGGCACAGTTCCTCCCCTTCAGGGGCTCACGCTCAGAGTAGGGGGCTAGACCACACCCAGGGCTGGTCCTGGCCACAGCAGGTGCGTGGATCACGGAGGTGTTGGAGGAGTCAGGGAAGGGGGGATCAAGGTGGGCTGGGGCGGGCTGGGAGTCCTCCCCGTACAGAAGGGGATAAGATGGAGCTGGGAGGGGGTGAGGCTTTAAAGGAAGACTGGGATTTAGGAAAACACTCAGGAGAGGATAGAAGTAGAGAAAATAGCCCCAGGAAGCGCGGGGCTAGGTATGGATTGGGTGTGGCTGGAGAAGGATGAGTAAACGTGTCTGGCTGGAGTTGAAAGGATCTTGGGAGGGGATAGGGAAGCGGAGATGGGACCATGGCTGAACAAAGCACTTGGATTTTATTTGGTAAACAAACAAAAATCAGGCCAGGGGAACTTTGGCAGAGTCTACTTGAGCATGGTGCAGTCAGCTGGCACGGCATGAAGTGTCGAGTGACTGGGGACAAGTTTTTCTACTTGTTGATCCTTGAGAAATAAGGGCAGAGCTATGGGGCTTGAACCCAGCTGGGGGTGGGGGGGCGGTTAGGGTGGCGTGTTCACAGGCAGCTGGAGGCTGTTTAGAGAATCATGCAAACAGCAGGCAAGCCACTGTGAGGAGCCGACCTCACGTGGACGGGTGCAACTCGGGAAACCAGGGGAGAATTCCCAATGTGTCTGGGACAGTTGGACACCCCACTTTGAACTGCCCCGTTTGGGATCCAAGACTGGTTGTGGGTTCAGGGACTGGCATCTGGGACAGACTGTGCCTGCCTCTGAGCTCAAGAAATGTG